TTTTCCTTTCTGGTGACTGTTGGCTTTTCTTGCTGTTCTTTTTCTAATTGTTGGAGATGTTGGTTTAAAGTGTTGATTTTGGCTCTTTCTTCTTTTCTGATGTGTGCATTTATTGCTATAAATTGGCTTCTGATCATTGCTTTTGCTGTGTCTCAAAGATTTTGGTATGTTGCGTATTCATTCTCGCTTGATCCAAGGAAGTTTTTTATTTCATTTTTTATTTCTTCTATTACTCAGTCATTGTTAAGGAGGGTATTGGTCAGTTTCCATGTGTTTACTCTTTTTCTGTTATCTTCCTATTGTTGATTTCTAATTTGATAGCGTTGTGATCTGAGAAGACACTTTGTAGTATTTCAATGTTTTTAAAATTATTAGGCTTGTTTTCTGTCCTAACATATGGTCTAGCCTGGAGAATGTTCCATGTGCACTGGAAAAACAATGTATATTGTGCTGCTGTTGGGTTAAGTGCTCTGTAGATGTCTATAAAGTCAAGTTGGTGGACTGTATTATTTAGCTCTTTTATGTCTTTGTTGAGTTTCTTTCCAGTTGTTCTATCTTTGATTGAAAGTGGTATATTAAAGTCTCCTACTATGATGGTGAAGTCATCTATTTGCCTTTTCAATTTTGTTAAAGTCTGATTTATGTATTTTGGGGCTCTTTCATTGGGTCCACAGATATTTATTACGGTTATATCTTCTTGTTCAATTGATCCTTTAATCATTATATAATCATTAAAGTCAATTTTATCAGAAATTAGTATTGCCACTCCTGCTCTTTTACAGTTGCCATTTGCTTGATAAATCTTTTTCCAACCTTGATTTTTAGTCTATTTTGTCTTTGTCTCTAAGGTGTGTCTCTTGTAGACAGCATATTGATGGGTTATGTTTTCTTATCCAGTCTGCAACTCTCCATCTCGAGTGGTGCATTTAATCCATTGACATTCAGTGTAATTATCGACAAGTATGAATTGGTTGCTGTCATTTTGTTATGTGTTTTTTCGTGGTGTTCCTGGTTTCTTTGTTTCATATTATTTTCTGTGCTGAGCTCATTATGTTTATGAGTTGTGTCATCATTTCCTTTGTTGCCGCTGTTTTAGTATTTGCTAAATATTTGTGCTTGTCCTCTTTTTTATTGTGAAGGTTTATCATTTTTCTTTGAGATTACCCCATGATTTATAATTTTCTCCCCAAGCTTAGAACAGCCTATCCTATCTTACAACTCTCTTGACTTCCTCACTGTTCAGAAGTTTTGTAACTACACTATTTCCCTTCCTTTTTGGTTTGTAGTTGTCCTCATTTGTCAATTGATGTCTCTGGTTCCCTGTGTACAATCCTGTAAGCTTATTTTACTTTGGATACGTCCATAGCTGTGTTGATTTCTGTGTTATAACATCTTGTGTATTAATGGTCAGTTGCTATTATTGGTTCTCTGTTCAAAGGACTCCTTTCAATGTCTCTTTTAAGGCTGGTCTGGTTTTAACAAATTCCCTTAATTTCTGCTTATCTGGAAATCTAATTTCACCATCATATGTGAGTGACAGTTTTGCCAGGTATATAATTCTTGGATGGAGATTTTTCTCTTTCAGGGTTTTATATGTACCATCCCACTGCCTTCTCACTTGCACAGTTTCTGCTGGGAAATCAGAGCTTATTCTTATTGGTTGTCTTTCGTAAGTAACTTTTCGTTTTTCCCATGCTGCTTTCAGGATTCTTTCTTTGTCTTTTGTTTTGGTGAGTCTGATGATGATATGTCTTGGTGATTTTCTTTTGGGGTCTATTCTATTTGGGTTGTGTTGGACTTCCTGAATAGATGTATCCTTGTCTTTCATCATATCAGAGAAGTTCTCTTCCAACAAATCTTGGACCATTTTCTCAATGGTTTTCTTTTTCTCTTCCTGTTCTGGAATTCTGATTACATGTAGGTTATTCCTTTTGATGGTATCCTACATGAACCTTAGGCATTCTTCATTTTGTTTTGATTTTTTTCTGACTGATCCCTTTCCAAATACATATTCAGGTATTTGTCTTCCATCTCATGAATTCTGTCTTCCATTAATTTGATTCTACTCCTTTGCCCTTTCAATGTGTTATCTATTTCTAAAAATTCAGTATTAAACTTCTGGATTTCTATCTGTAGATTTAGAATCATTTCTAATTTTTCATTTGTTTTGTCATTTTGTTTTTGTATTTTCTTCCAAAATTGTTCTAGGGTTTTGTATTTGTTTTCCTCCATTTTGTCAGTGTTTTCCTTGATCTGTCTGTCAATCCTTTGAAGGTACCTAAATATAATTCTTTTGAATTCCTTATTAAGGAGTTCCAATGTTGCATTTTCTTCAGGGATGTGTTCTGGGTCTGTATCCTGCTCTCTTATTTCTACCTCTTTATCTTGCTTCTTTGTGTGGACAGTGATGGTCTGTTGTGTCCTAGACATTGTGATGTTGTTATATTTAGGTCTCTGCTAACTTTCCAGTCATTTGCATCTGGAAAGTCCTCGTGGTTCCTGGCAAGTGGACCTTTTTTTTTTGTTTGTTATCTTATAAGATGACGAAGCTCAAGTTCAGAAAGATTAAGAAATTTTTCTTACGTTTCATAGCTAGTAAATAGTATGTTAAGCCTGAGTGAGGGAGTGAGAGAAAAAAAGAGAGAGACACAAACAGACAGATAATATCATACAATATTGTCTCCTCATTTGGTCCAATGCTGCCAGTTTTGTAAAAAAAAATTAAACCAATGAACTCTTACCTGGTGATTCTGCAAGATGCTCTTGTTTCTCTTCTCTGTCCTGAAATTGAATTAAATGTGACCACAAAGCCGACTTCCCCTGAAAGTAAAAGGTACATAAAGTTTTCCATTTTATAAGAAATAATTCATCAAAAATAATTTCTTATAAAAATAATTCACATTACACACCAAAGTTCACTGCAGCACTATTGACAATAGCAAAAAGGTAAATAGCCTAAATGTCCAACAAATGCATGGATAAACAAAATGTGGTCGGTCGGTCGGTCGGTCGGTCGGTCGGTCTGTCTATCTATCTATCTATCTATCTATCTATCTATCTATCTATCTATCTATCTATCTAATGGAGTACTACTCAGCCATAAAGAGAAATGAAGATCTGACACACGCTACAACACAGATGAATCTTGAAAATGATCCTGAGTGAAATCAGTCATTCACAAAATGACAAATATTTTATGATCTTGCTTATATAAAATGCCTAGAAGAGAACGTATAGAGACCAAAGTTTATTAGTGGTTCCTCAGAAGGAAGATTGGGCAATCTACTTCTGTAGAGATACCGTCTCGGGAATCCAATGAGGGGTCACTATGAGTCGGAACCGACTCGATGACAGTGAGTTTAGTTTTTTTGATTTAAAAGCAGGCAGAAGGAGGGTGACAGTAAGACTCAATGTTTAGGGGACACTGAGCTTTTATTAAGGGTGATGGAAAAATATGGAAACAAGGTGATGGTTGAAAACCATAAGCGTAAGTAATGTCACTAAATTGTACATGTGAAAATGGGAAGGTACAGATATTTCTGACTTTATGTAGTCAGGGCTGTTTGCACTGGCAACATTATAAAGCACGGAATGGAAAAGCATCTACTTCCATAGAGATGCCACCTTAGAAACCCAAGGAGGGGTCACTATGAGTCAGATTTGAATTGATGACAGCGAGTTTAATTTTGGTTTTAGCAACAAAGAACATGTTTGTGTATACCCATCTGCAAAATGTTTGGATATATGAAATGACAATAAAGGAAGAAAAATAAGGTGAGAGGAAAAAGAGAAAAGAGGAGGAACAAAGAAACATGCATATAACAGGAAAATAAATCAGAAAGAGAGACTGGAGGATTAAAAGCGAAATCATTTGAATTTTTCTACTCTGAATGGAAATACAGTTGACGTTTAAGATTACAAAATGGTAAAGAATTGTTAATTTTGGCTAATAGGTTTTTCCCTGGACAATGACAAAACACATTTAGTGGAATCTACAGTGGATACAGCCTCTGTAATGAACGTGCTGTTTTATTTTACCCTTTCCTATGTTTATCATGGAAGATCCCCAAGCTACTTCCTGGTCACAGATTACATTTTCTTTATCTGGAATTAAAATGCCTGTAGCACATTTCTAATCATCCTGTGACTAAGGAATATACCCTTTAATTTTTGTATTATATCTTTTTCTCCTTGTTATATTTCTTAATAGGGCTCCTAACTGGCCATGTCACCAGGGCCTCTCAAGACTATTACCTGCTTTATCAGCAAGCCGTGGCTCCATATCCTTTCCAGCAGGTCACAGAGGCTGGCGATCAAGGTATTTTCCTCCAAGCCAGTTATGTTTGCTTCTCCATGACCCAGTTCCACTGCTTCATGTCCCATCTTCTCAACCAACATGCGTTTTGTCTGAAAACATCACATGTGGTCACAAGTGTTAGCACAGGTATGAAATAAAAAACCAACATGTCAATTACTAGATTAGGAGGCTGGGATCTTGTCACTTGTCTACTTCCAGTTGCAGACTGTTAATTACCCTGGGAAAAATGTCTTAATCTCTGTAGTCAACCTCCTGGAGTAGTATCATCTATACTTGTACTAGAAGCAGAGAGTCACTAAAGAGAGAGGAAGATAGTATTCGTAAAGCACCCTATGTTGAAAAAATGCTAGGTACAGCAACATCCAGATTACTAACTTGACTACATCAGGGAATTACATCAGACAGAAAATGTACTGTCAGAATCTGGAACCCCACCTTGCCAACACAACTCTGCCTCCCCACTTCCCTCAGCATCTTACCATGCTAATGATACTTGGGCTTAGTTTCAGTTGCAATTAGGCAAAAACCACAGAATGATGGACAGCTCTTAATCTGGGGGAATTTTCTAATTTGTGAGTGAACCAGGCCTCTTTTTTTCCCTTCCTCTTTTCTCTCTTCTTTGCTCATAAGAATGCACCAGAAAGGGGAGAGAAAATGGAAATGAGTTTTAAGTAAGTTAATGTGCATTACTCTCAGCAACTCTTACAAAAATGCAAAGTGAGATAAAACCTAGTTTCTTTAGGGAGGAATTTGTCTGATTCACCATTGCATCCTGATGTTGAAATAGTTCATTTAATGACCATGCAGAGAGTGTACTCAAGTAATTATTGTCAGATAAATGAGTAAAACTACTGGGTAAAATGATGTTTTAAATGTTGTCAATTTGTATTGCTACCTCCAATAAACACAGGTATCTGAGAGGATATTGTTGTATAATACACAGACCTACAACACAGCAAAGGCTGTATATATGCTGTTGAAAGTACAGGCACAGATAAGGATGCACATAGGTGCACTGTCTTGGATTGAACTGTGATAAAAAGAGAGAGAAGTGAGCTGAGAGGAGGGACATGACTACCACCAAGAAGAGCAGGGAGCAGAGGGTATCCTGTGGACCTGGGATCCCTATGCTGAGAACCTTCTAGACCCAGAGGGAGAATGATGCCAAGACATAAGGAATATTAGGCCCACAGATGCTGAAAGGAGATAAGGACTTTCCCCGAGAGACAACAAAGAGAGAAAGCCTTCGCTTTGAGCTCGTGCCCTTGATTAGGATTTTTACTCTCTTACAGAAAATATATATATATATATATATATTTTAAATTTTTTATTTTAAGAGTTTGTTTTACATTCAACATTATGTGTATATTAGTTTCACTCCTCATTTACCATCCCCAACCCTAACCCAGTCTCCTCCCCTCCCTGCCCAGTAACCCCCCACGCCCCCGCCGTGCCTCTCATAGTTATGTACTCCTGTGTGTCCCGCATTTCCTCCACGCGAGTGTTGCCCCTCTGGTGCCCCATGGTCGATTGTTCTAAGAGATGCATTTCCATAGAGTATGTGTGTGTATCACCCTGGTTTGAGTGGTCTGCATGTACATCTTGAGAGCAAGCCCCTGGGAGCGAGCTTTATTCCAGGCCCAGAATGTACCCCAGGACTACTGGGGCTCTCACCAGACTCCATCCAACCAGTAATTCTGATCATTATTGAGTTTTTGGATTTTGTTCCATGTTTTTCCTCCCACTCTATCCAGGATCTCTAGATTTGATCCTTTCCTGAGTGGTTGGCATTGGTAGCCATCTAGTTCTTCTGCTCTCAAGGGTCATCGTGTCCTAGGGTTGATTGCTTCCAAATGCTCGTTTTTTTGCACTCTTCTTCACTTCTGACGATAGGAAACCATTTAGCTGCATCTTAGATGACCGCTTGAAAGCTTTTAAGACCACTGTCGCTACTCACCAATGTAGGATTAGGAATGAGATTTTCATATATTTTGTTGTGCTAACTGAGTCTGGTGTCCCCCAATACTATGGTTCTGAGTAGGTAGATCCGTTGGATCTCTCTCCCACAGTGTCTGGCTGTCTGTGAGGGATTACTCTATATCTTCTCTATTACTCTATTACTTCTCTATTACTCTACGTCTCTATTACTCTATGTCTATGCTGTCTGTTGTTTCTGTAAGGATTGTGGTTATTTTGTATCACTTGTATCTGTGATACAAGATTCTGCTGAATCTATCCTTGGTCTAGAGTATACTCCTGTTCATTAACCCCCATCTGATATTCTCAGATGTTTACGTGTTTATCTGTATCCTGGTGTTTGGTGTTGAGAAAATAAATTTGTTTGTTAAAGCCATCCACTTGTGGTATTTCTGTGATAGCAGCACTAGAAAGTTAAGATAATGCATGAATAGACACAAAATGTCTCTCTTATAAGATGACAACTTTCTTGACAGAGCCTTTGACTAGCTTAATATATGCTCATGTTGGTGAAGAAGCAAGCAATGGCTGAAAAGGTGAGAAAATCTGTGTAGGACTCCCATGTCACTGATCCCGTGGCCGTGCAAGTTCATGACCTCTGTAAGGAGCACATGAAGTCTAGGGAAACTATAGGCTGGAATGGAAGTTAATTCTGCTCATCTCAGCCTCAAAATGATGTAAAAATGAATTTGTCCTATCTCACATCAGTAATACATACCTTCATTCTACATTCTTTTAATAAACCTTCTACAAATTTCCAGTTGGTCTGTGCAATCACTGCAGGAGAGAGGTCTGATAATTTGGGTTGTCTCAGGTTCTTTCCCAAACTTCGTGCCTCCTGCATGTATTTCTGAAAATTAAAGAGCATTTTTAATGTATAAATACCAGATATTCTTATCAACTTAGCCTTACACAAACAGCACAGAAACAAAACAAGATGCAGAACACACAAAAAACAAAACCCGTAAGTGTATATACGCAATATTTAAAGGTTTAATGCATCAAAAGGTAGAGGATGTGCATACTCCCTCCCTTCAAGCTGTTAACCCCTGTGAAATGAAGGTGACAAAAATCCCATCAGGTTAGAACTTATATAAAACAAAATAACTGTTTTAAATGTACATGATAGATACACAGTTAAGATTCAAATGCAGTTTCATCTGGTTTAGTCTTTCAATTGGGAATACCTCAGACTGATTGGGAGCTCCAGTAGCATAGTGCCTAAGGCACTTGACTGCTAACCAGAAGGCTGGTGGTTCAAACCCACCAGCCACTCCTTGGAAGGAAGAAGGGGCAATCTACTTCTGTAGTGATACTGCCTTGGAAACCCAAGGAGGGGTCGCTATGAGTCTGGTCTGACTCGATGGCACAAAACAACAAAAACAACTGCGTACACTGCAGAAACCCAGCCCATTGCTTTTGTTCTTTAGTTAGTAAATTTATAGGAAAAAGAAATCAGTGCATGTGATTAATGTGAGGTACACACTATGCTACCTGTAAAAGCTCTCCTAGATAACTTTATGTTTGCAACAAGACCACAGGGAAGACTCCAAATAATCCAAGTATCTTAGGACCATATTTAGACTGCTGTTATTATTGTTGGGTGCCATCAAGTTGATTCCGACTCACACTGACCCCATGTGACAGAGCAGAATTGCCTCATTAGGTGTCTGGACTGTAATCTTCTCAGAAGCAGATCACCAGGTCTTTCTTCCATAGAGTTGCTGGCTGGATTCAAATAACCAATCTGTAGGTTAGTGGCTGAAGGTTTAACCATTTGTGCCACCAGGGCTCCTTATATTTAGAGACAAACTACTCTAAATTATATGGTATAACTAACAGTATGATAGGTGAAAACAGAGAGATTGCAATGAGCATAACATTATCCTCATTATCTTAAGGAGACAATTTGGTATTATAAGAGAAAATATGAAGCAAGCATTGATCTATCGGTGGACAGCTGGGTAAACAGGCTCAATGATCAGGTATATCTAGACGGGGGGAGTGTGCACATGACAGTGTATGGGGTTGGCAGATGTTTCTACATGCATGTTTGTATGTGCTGTAAGAATGTCTGGGTTTATGGTAGAGCTGACAAGGGGCAAGGGGAATGAGGGAATGAGTAGCCAGACCTGTGGGCTCGGGACCATGGTCACAGGGGACATCAAGCTCAATTGGTATAACATTCACAAAAACATTGTTCTATGTTGTACTTTGGTTGAGTAGTGACTGGGGGCTTAAAGCTTGCAAGTGGCCATCTAGATGCAACAATAGGTCTCTTCTTGTCCAGGGCAAAGAAGAACTAAGAAAACCAAAGATGCATAGAAACAATTAGTCCAAGGGACTAGCACACCATGCAGTCCTCAGCCTATATGATCATGAGACCAGAAGAAATAGATGGTGCTCGGCTACCACTGTCAACCACTTGGAGGTGCCATCAGTGCAGGAGACCCTGAATAGAGTAGGAGAACAATGTGGAACAAAACTCAAAGTCTTAAAAAAAAAAAAAAAACCCAGGATTGCTGATCTGATAGAGCGTGGGGAGATTCCTGAGACTATGGGCCCTAGGTACCCCTCAGGTCTGAAACTGAACTCACTCCTGTGGCTTCCAGCCAAACAACAGACAGGTATATAGGGTGAATATTTACATCAGGTAGATACACTTCTTGGAGCGATCAATTTTATAAAAAAAGAAGGGCAGTGTTTGCACAGGGAGACAGATGGGGCTGGGGGTAGGAATGCATGGGAGGGAAGGACATAGGGAAGCAGTTACCACAGGGAGGAAGTGGGAAGACAAAAGCTGTTATATTGTGGGAATTGCAATCAATGTCATGAAACGAATGTGTATGAACTGCTGTATGGAAAATGAATTTGCTATGTAAACTTCCACCCAAATCACAATTAAAAGAAAAAAGAGAGAGAGAGAGAGAGAGAGAAAACCCCTTGATTCTTTAAATAAAAGGTATTTTGTATACTTAATATACTTTGCTTTTGGAAGAAAAGCAATCTGCTAAATCTGGTACAAATAACAAAAAAAATTCTCCTGATGAAAGGCAAGATTAACAAAATCTCTCATTTCTTTCCAGTTCAATCATTTCTAAGGACAGATTTAAAAATCAAATGGACTTTATTAACATTGAGTTCTCACAGCACTTGTGTATACCTTCTTTTGTTCCAAATCGTTTTTAGGAGGTCAATAAAAGAAGGGAAAATTGAGAATGAGAGAACTATTGCCACTAGGGAAATGTAACAAGGTCTACAGTAACATTCTGAACATTAAACATTCGTTTTCAAATAACTGACAGTAGGAGATGAGAACAGTGCCAGAAAAATCAACCTGAGATACAGGGAAGGCGCTTCCACATGAGAACTGGAATATTTTTGCTTCCTATAGTTTCAGGTTATATGAATGTTACTTGGAAAATCACAAATCAGACATAAAAGGTTAGTAAAAACCAATGATAATTGTTAAATGTTAAAAAGGTTCTGTTCTCTTTCTGCCTCAACTCCTCTATCTTTTGAACTTGTGCAGAGACAGAATACAGGGAGAACCACTATAAGCCTCAAGTCGTAAGAAGAGCTGAGTTCAAACTTGGCTTAGGAAGAAATACACTGGCTAGAAGAAAAAGAGTGAGGAACATAGTCAGGAAAGAGGCTGGGAAGAAATCTCTAGCAGTTGTCTCTTTTCCTGAAATATATAATTAGATTTTTAAAAGTCAATAATTAGATAAAAAACTAAGCTGTGTTTAAAATTTATGTTCCATTTTATAAATGAAAACAAGCTTTTAGTTACCATATTTATCAAATACCAATGTACACAGCTATAAAGCCCTATGCAAAGTCTTCTTCTAAGCATGCCTGCTGAAGCCACAGAACCAGAAACATTCCAGAAACGCATAGAAAGGATACAGGGGGTGACACAAGGCTTTTCCACAAAGCAATAGGTAAGGCTTTGTGTTTTTGCATATTGTAAAAACAGAGCAATATCTTTTTCCCCCCCCCCACCACTTTTATTGTGGTGAAAACATATACAACAAGACATTTGCCAATGTAACAACTTTCACATTTACAGCTCAGGGCCATCAATTACATTTTTCATGTGCCACCATTATTGCTAACCTTTCCCAAAATATTCTACCACCTATCAGCATAAACTCAATGCCCCAAACAAAAGTTTTCCCCTCCCCCTCCTTCCTATCCCTGGTCAACACTAATAATCTTTGGTTTATATATATATATCTTTTTTTTTTTCCCCCAACTTATCTAGAAACTTTTCCTCCCCTTCCCTCCCATCCCTGGTAACTAACAAAGAAAGTTTCTGTCTGTGTATAAACCTTTCCTTGATGTTTTACAATAGCAGACTAATACAGTATTTGTCCTTCTGTGATTGACTTATTTTACTCAGCATAATGTCCTCCAAGTTCATCCACATTATACGGTGTTTTGCAGATTCTACATTACTCTTTAGGGTTGCACAGTATTCCATTGTGTGTATGTACCACAGTTTGTTTACCCATTCCTTGGTAGATGGACACTTAGATTGTTTCCATCTCTTTGCCGTTGTGAACAGTGCTGCGATGGACATGGATATGCATTTATCTATTTGTGCCTTGCCTCTCACTTCTTTAGAATATGTACCTAGCAATGGCATTGCTGGGCCAAATGGTATTTCTATCTCCAACTTTTTGAGGAATCGCCATACCGATTCTCACAGTATCATTTTACAGTCCCACTATCAATGTATGAGAATCCCAATCTCTCCACATCTTTGCCAGCATTTGTTATTTTATGTTTTGTTGAACTTTGCTATTAGTGCTGGGGTGAGATGGTATCTCATGGCTGTTTTGATTTGCATCTCTCTAATGGCTAATGATCATGAACATTTCTTCATGTATTTGTTGGCTGCCTGAACATCATCTTTGGTGAAGTGTCTATTCATGTCTTCTGCCCATTTTTAATTAGACTGTTTATCTTTTTGATGTTGAGGTGTTGGAGTCTTCCATAAATTTTAGAGATAAGTCCTCTGTCCAATACGTCATTGCTGAATATTTTTTCCCAATAAGTTCTCTTTCGAAGAAGTCTTGTGATGCATGTAAGAAGTTAATTTTTAGGTCTCATTCATCTAGTTTATCTTCTGCTGTTTATGCATCTTGGGTTATACTTGATAGTCCATTTATGCCATAAATGAGGGCCACTGTGCTTGTCCTGACTCTTTGATTAACTTTATAGTTTTAGGTTTCACATTTAAGTCTTTGAGCCATCAGGAGTTGGTTTTTGTGTATGGTGTGAGGTATGGATCTTGTTTCATTTTTCTGCAAATAGATATCCAATTCTGTCAGCACCACTTGTGAAAGAGACTATCTCTTCCCCACTGAATGGATTTCAGCCTTTGTCAAATATCAACTGAACATAGGTCAATGGATCTACTTCTGGGTTCTAAATTCTGTTCCACACTGGTCTATGTGTCTGTCATTGTACCAACACCAGGCTGTTGTGACAACTGTGGCTGAATTGCAGGTTTTGAGATATGGGAGTATGAGACCTACTTTGTTCTTCTTCAGGAGTTCTTTGCTTATCCGAGGTCTCTTTCCTCTTTTTCCATATAAAATTAGTGATTGTTTTCTCCACGTCTTTGAAGAATACTGATAGAATCTGGATCAGGATTGCATTGAATATATAGATTGCTTTGTAGTACTGACATTTTCACGATGTTTACTCTTCCTATCCATGAACATGGTATCTTCTTCCATTTATGTGTATCTCTTATAGTTTCTTAAGGCAGTGTTTTGTAGTTTTCTTTGTATGTCTTTTGTGTTCCTGGTAAGATTTATTCCCAAGTATCTTATCTTTTTGGTAGCTATTGTAAATAGTATCGATTTCCTTATTTCCTTTTCAGAGATCTCTTTGCTGGTATAGAGGAACCCAACTGATTTTTGTATGTTGATCTTGTATCTTTCCACTATGCTAAATCTTTCAATAAGATGCAATAATTTTCTTGCTGAGTCTCTTGGGTTTTCTGTGAACCGTCAGCCTTCTGGTTATCAGTTAAGTGCTTTAGGCACTACACCACCAGAGCTCCCATACAGGATCATATCATCTACAAAGAGGGATAGTTTTACTTCTTCCTTACCAATTTGGATGCCTTTGACTTCCCTTTCTTGCTTTATTGCCCTGGCTATGACTTCTAATACAATGTTGAGTAGAAGTGGAGATAGAAGGCATCCTTGTCTCATTCCTGCTCACAAGGAAAGCAGAGCAATGTCTTTAAAGTCAACAAGAGGTGATAACAATATTACTTGCTTTGGGGTAGATGAAGGAAAAGGTGTACTTTAAGATGAAAAAAATGGAGATGAGAAACCATAAACAATGAATAATGTTCATTTCTTCAAAGAAGAAATTAACTCCAGATTTATTGTGCTTTCTATTATGATCTTCATTTATGTCAAAGCCAAAAGCAATAAACCACTAGAAACTACCTATAAAAATATGTTCTATTATTCAATATAGAATGAGCCCCGGTGGTACAGTGGTTAAACCATTCGGCTGCTAACCAAAAGGTTGGTGGTTTGAACCCACCAGTTGCTCTGTGGTATAAAGATAAGGGAGTTTGCTTCCATAAAGACACCCAAACCGAACAAAACTCACTGCCATTGAGTCAGATCCGACTCATAGCAACCCCTCCTTAGGTTTCCAAGGCAGTATCACTATGGAAGTAGATTGCCCAATCTTCTTTCTGAGCAGTGGCTGGTGGGTTTGCCTTGGAAATCCTATGGGTCAGATCTACTCTGTCCTACAGGGCTGCTATGAGTTGGAATCGACTTTATGGGCCTGAGTTTGGTGGTTTGGGGTATTCAATACAGAGTGGACTAAATGCTCTTCAGGCGCTCTGGTGGTGTAGTGCCTAAGACAAATGACTGTTAACCAGGAGGCTGGTGGTTCAAACCCACCAGCCACTCCTTGGAAGGAAGACTGGGCAATCTACTTCTGTAGAGATACTACCTCGGAAACCCAAGGAGGGGTTGCTATGAGTCAGAACTGACTTGATGGCAGTGAGTTTGGTTTGATTTAACTGCTCTTTAATACCAAGCTCTTCATGAATTTTCTAATAAATACACTAGTTCTTTATCTGGGGCTGACTTATAACAAAAGACCTTATAAAGTTAAATAGATTTAAGCTAATATGTCTAATTGGGAAAAAAAAAAAAAAAAAAGTACAAGAAAGAGTCCTAAGTTATTTCTGCCCTTGGGTGACTAGCTATTTAGTACAAGTTGGTATGTAGGAGTAGTGGGAAGAATACAGGCTTAGAAGGCATGAGTCCTGACTCTAGGTACAGCTCTGGCCTTGTGTGTCTGTTTAAATTGGCTAAGTCAGGTTGTCAAATTATCCGAGATGAACCCTATGGTTCTTCTTATCACTAAGATTTTATAGTTGATAACTAGATTTTCTGACTACATAAATACAGACTAAGAGGGGTGTGGTGTAGTAAATTATGTAGTGTGGCTTTTCTACCCATAAGTCTTTGTAAACTCCAAGGTGGGAATTGCTATGAGCAACTGAGGAGCTCCTGATTGCTGAAGTTGTCCACCTGAAGTATTTCTGTTGGGAGTGGCACAAAACAATGTTCTGGGAGGTGCCCACTCTCTCTCAGGTGCTTAGAGTTCTGATGCTGTGATTGGCTAGTTTGACCACCCTGCCGGGCAAAAAAGGAGGCCTCCTAGAGGCAGAATGCTCTCTCACTGCTGGTTGAGGAAGACGTGCTGCTGAAAGAGACACGCATCCCAGAAAGAGACACGTGCTGCTGGGAAAGAGGGCAAGAGACATGCACTGCTGAGTGAGACACCGAGGGACCAGCAATACTGGGAAAGAGACTGTGAGAGACTGTTGGCTGAGGGACGGTGGTATGGGAGAGAGACTAAGCATTCTTCCTGAACTTGAGTTGTAGCCTGGTGCTTCCCTAATAAACCCCGTAATCCGTGAGTTCTGTGTGGCCACTGCAGTGAATTATCGAACCCAGAGGAGAGATGGTGGGTGCTTTGGGAGGAACGGTTGGAGAAAGGGCTGGAGGGAGGCAGCATGTCCGGCCTTGCAGGAATAGGCCTTGGGCTATTGATGGTAATCCTGTCTTCCTCTTGTGGGATTAGAGGAGGTCAGAAGATATGGCCTCCTTGTCTTTTTAGTAAAGGGCAAATTAAAAGGCTATGGAGATAAAATCCAGCAAAAGTAAAGTTATTTGAATATAAGAAACTTCTTCAAAATCTTTTTTCTTTTCAACTTTTATTAGCACACTCCACCACAAATAGTTACCAAACACAAGAGGAAGTGGGGTTATGGAGAGGCTGAGAATTCAAGTCACAAGGTGATGTGAGGTATTAGAACTATGTGCCCTTACACACGTGTAAAATTCAAGTGACACCAAAGACAAGATTTGGGAACATCTAGCAAAGCACTTTCAGGCAAGGAACATACCAGGCAGCACTCAGAGAAGGATTTTTTAGGAGGTCGTGCAGGAGGAGGTGGACCCTGATCCCACTCCCAGAATGCCATGGAGTTCTGACAGACCGAAAGCTCCCCTGAAGGCTAAGAGCATGGAGACGTGCCAATGATAGAAAAGCAAAAAAGAAAAGGACAGGGGAAAGAAACAAGCAAAACAAACACGCATATGATAAAGTTACAGCAAAATGGAGAGGAAGAGAAGAAAATACAGTAGCGCAAAGAAAAGCACTAAACAGGTTATGCTTCAGTTCTTAAGAAAATATTTAAAATAATTTAAATGTATGAAGACATTAACAAAAAACAGCAGATGTTTGGAATGATGTTTTCTGCTTTATTTCTACACATTTGAGTTCAGAAAATAGTTAAGAGATCTTTTGATTGCATTATTGTTTTGACCACAAATAAACAAAAATTACTTATAAGCATCTGAATTTGTAATTATGGTTTCATTTTCAAATTGTACAAATAAAGCATAAGGATCTCAACTTAAAAATAGTTTTTTAAAATACTTTTAAAAGTGGTACCAGAAAGTCAAGGACATAGCACAGGTAAATAAATCATAGAATCATAGACATTCTTAAGTTTGAACCATTGTATATATATAACACATTTACCTATATATTAGTTAATGCTTAAATTATGTATTGACCAAAAATTTATCTGAAATTTGGTGTGATACACAGAGATTTGTTTTAGATGTATTGAAATTACAAAATTATTATTACGTTTTTAAAAAGATGCTTCCTGCTCTAAGTCAGTAAAAACAAGGATTCATATTTTAGAGTATAACTGGGGCTTTTTTTAAAAAGAACATGAAAGAACCTACACAATGACAGAACACCTGCTCGGGTAAGTAAGCCTAGTTCATAGCTTTCCACATAAAAGGAATCCAGGAAAGCAGATGACATACCTCCCTCAAGTCATTGTCTAGTCCAATATGCTCAGAATGCTGGCGAAGGCGTTCTTTTCTACGCTGTGTGGTGGCACTTCGACTTACCCAGCGACTGAAAAACCAAGCACATACAAGAAAGTGTAGGTTAAAACAGACAAATAAGATGTGGTCACTTATCTTGAAAACAGAAAGAATGACTAGTTCAACACAAAAGTCTCACAGTACTTAGTTTTCAATTTTTTGTGTTCTTTTAAAATGAAACAGCTTTATTAAGCTGTAATTCACATATCATAAAATTTACATATTTCAAGTATACAATTCAATGGTTTTTAGAATATTCACAGTTAAGCAATTAGCACATCAACATACTTTAAAACTAAGGTTAAAAAATGCACAGTATCACTACACTTTTGCCATATCTTAATTGAGTTAATTGATTGATTGTATTAAACATATAATATGGATGCTTTGATTTGCTCAAAGTAAGTATTAAGGGTGAACTTTTTTCTTTTTTTAACATGAAGAATAATATTCTCAAAATCCATAAGCATAGAACACTAGAATTAAATAATTTTTGGATTTTGAGAATATTCTCCTTTGTATCAAAAAAGGAACCTTAGTGGTACAAAAAAGTGCAGCCAGAATGCTCCTTGGAAGCAAGAATGGCCAGACTTCGTCTCACCTATTTTGGTCATGTTGTAAGGAGGAACCATTCCCTGGAGAAGGATGTCATGCTTGGTAGGGTGGAGGGTTGACGAAAGAGGGGGAGACCTTCAACGAGATGGATTGATACTATGGCTGCAATGATGAGCTCAAGTATAGCAGGGATTGTGGGGCTGGCGCGGGATCGGGCAGTGTTTCGTTCTGCTGTGCATGGGGTCGCTATGAGTCGGAAATGACTCGATGGCACTTAACAACAACAACAACAATAGTGGTACAAGGTCATGGAACAAAATCAGTTGGGTTCCTACACATCAGTAATGAGAAATCTGAAAGGGGAAGTAGGGGAATAATTCCATTTACAATGGCATGTAAAAGAATAAAGTACCTAGAATAAATCTAACCAGTGATGTTAAGGATTTATACAATGAAAACTGTACAAAACTGATGAAAGAGATTAACAAAGACTTAAATATGTGGAAAGATATTCCATGTTCATGGATTGAAACACTCAATACTGCTGTCAATACTATCCAAAGTGATCTACAGATTCACTGTATTTCAGATCAAAATTCCAAAGCCTTCTTTAAAGAAATAAAAAACCAATCCTCAACTTTATATGGAACAGCAAGAGGCCCTGAACAGCTAAAACAATGTTGAAAGAGAGGAACAAAGTAGGAGGACTCACACTTCCTGATTTTAAAACATACAATACAGGTACAGTAATTAAAACAGCTAGGTACTGGTATAACAGGAGACATGGAGACCAGTGGAACAGAATTGAGATTCCAAAAATAAACCCACACATCTATACTCAACTTATTTTGACAAGAGTGCTAAGTCCATTCAAAAGGAAAGAAGAATCTCTTAAATAAATGGTGCTGGGAAAATTGAATTTCCACATATAGAACAAGGAGACAGGATACATGCCTCATACCATATACAACAACAAACTCAAAATGAATTAAGGACCTATATGTGAAAATTGGGAGCTCTGGTGGCATAGTGCCTAAGGCATTTGACCGCTAACCAGAGGGCTGGTGATTCACACCCAACAGCTATTCCTCAGAAGGAAAACTGGATACTCTACTTCCAGAGATACCACCTCAGAAACCCAAGAAGGGGTTGCTATGAATCAGGACCGACTCGAGAGCAATGAGTTTGGTTTGGTGTTTATGTGAAAATTAAAACTATAGATAAATTCTTAGAAGAACAAGCAAGGGCAATGTTCTCAAGTCTAGCTCTGAATAATGGACTTTTTAAATAAAAACAACAGATGCACAAACGGCAAAAGACAAAATAAATGAGACCTTATAAAAATTAAAAACTTTTGTTCATCAAAAGACTTTACTTAAGAAGTGAAAAGACAAGTTATTGACTAGAAAATATGTTCAGAATTCATATATCCAACAAGAGTCTAATAACCAAAATATATATATACAAAAAGACAACACAATCATAAAATGAGCAAAGGACTTGAACAGACACTTCATCAAAAATGACATTCAACTGGCCACCAAACAGCTGAAAAAGTGCTCAGCATCATTAGCCATCCGAAGTCAAACCAATAATACTGCCAGAATCGATTTTGACACATAGCAACCCCCACAGCACTTCCAAGGCTGTAAATCTTTTATTTATTTATTTATTATTGTGATATGGGTGAAGATTTACAGAGCAAATTCACTTTCCATACAGCAGTTTATATATACTTTGTCTCATGACATTGACCACAGTTTACC